CAGAGGGGTTGTGTGTCAGTGTGTGCGTTTAGCCGTGTACGAGTGTGTAACCGGTATCATGTTTGTGTGTGTCTGTGTGCATGAGCGCGTGTGTGTGTGTGCGTGTAAGTTCACAGACCATTTGCTCACAAATAAGCTCCCATATTCTTACATATGCACACTTTAGGTGCTTGCGCTTGTTTGGATACATATAGGTGTGTGCACAGTTGCATGTAAGCGCGTAGTAGGAACGAACCGTTAGGCCAATATCCCTTTTACCTTTTCACACCTCCAAAGGTGCAGATGCTTAGACCCATTTGTTCTTTATTGTTTTATTCAGCAGTATAGACTCAAGGCATAGGCCATGCATCAAGGATTAGGATGAAGAAACAGGTAATAACACAACATCTCTGTCTCATTCTTTCTGTTTCCCTTTCTCTCGCTTTCTCATGCAAAGATGTGAATCCCGGCACAGAGGATCTCACAGGAGGATTCCTATAAATACATCTCCCTCACATTCACCAGCAACCTCTCCAAGAGGGCGTCTTTATTAAAACCATTTTGTCTTCCCTGTGTGCCCTTTGTATGCTAGTGTGTGCATGTATGTTTGTGTGCGCACACATACTTTTAGTGCATATGAGTGCATTACTGCATGTGAACGCTGTGAAAGTTTATGTACTTTTACTTGAATTTATTATTTGAGAATGTTTTTATAAGTGGCATCTTCATGTGACAGCCTAGGTCTGTTTTCCCATTGTTTGTTTCCGTGTGACTGTGTGCACTTTTGTGTGCGTGTATGTCTGTGCGCACGTGTGTGGTATATATGTTGGCCATCTTATCTCCCCATTAGCCTCTTGTGCCCTGACCAGTATTCCCTCTCTCCCCTTCCTGCTTTCTCTAATGGGTAATTTAGCCATGCTCGCCTGACATCTAGCCTATTCCTTGTTTAGTTGCCATGGCTACGCAGGCCTATGGATTGCTCCCTTGCTCCCCTGGCCTTGCTGTGGATGCTATAGATGTCTCAACTATTAGAGGGCAGAGCTGCTAAGCACAGAGCGCACACTTAGTCTCTCATATATTCGGTGTAGAGTGTGCAAATTAAAAATTGAGCACTTTGTCTTGAATATAGATTCGTCTCTTCACAGAGCAAAATCTCGGACTCCAGTAAGTAAAGTAATCGACAGAAGTCGGCTGGTGAAGCCAGTGGTTTTGCTGTTTGTTTAACAACATTTTTAAGGCTTTTTAAAGGCTACATTTATGTGTTTTGTGTGTTTGTGCATGTGTGCACGTGTTTCTTTTAACACTGTCACTGCACTGAACACAGTACTCTCAGTTAAAGCTGAGTGCACAATAAGTGATGCCTGTGAATAGCATGCTTTATACTTCAGCATGCCTTCCAAGGTCAACCACATTGTACCGAACCGAGCGTAATTCATCTGCAATATGATGAGAGAATGCTAAAAACTTGAGTGGTCTCTTTTTATTTTTATTCGGTTTCATGTAAGGTAATGTCTGGTATTATAGTGAGCACTTTACTATATTTTTACATTGAACTGCAATGACAAATCTGATTAGGGGCAACAACCTGCTGACAGATATGACCCTTTGGCACTTCTCAAGAAATAACTTAAATTCTCAACCCAGACAACTGCAGAAGTCACACAACAGCAGAGTGGAAGCATAAATGCATGTTTGTGTTCACTTTGTGCATTTTTATACTTTTGGGTGGTATTGATTTTTTTTCTCGTTTTTTCATTGTTAAGTGTATAACTTGCAACACATTTGAAAAACTGATGCTCTTTCCTCACAAGAAACTTCATTTTCTGCCATCAGTTTTGTGAGGTCACTGTTGTAGTTGCAGTGACATACGGCAGATTTGCTTTGTGTAAAACTTACACATAAGTATCACATGGAAGAATGAGAGTTGCATTTGAGTGAGAAAAAAAAATCCAGATTTAATCCTCATGTATTTTGCAGGACTTGCAAGTAGTAAGGGTGGGGTGGGAGGATGGGGGGTTACAGCAAGGAGCTCAGGGTCAAAACAAACATCTATGCTTGAAGTTTTTATGCTTTTGCAGAAGATCTCGTTGTCTTTGAAGTTTTCACTACTGAGAGCTAAGAAGAGAAGGAGAGGCAAACAGGCGTAGAGAGAGTTAGGATAGGGAGAGCAGCGAGGGAAGGAGAACAAGTTAAAGAAGTGCGAAGCCCTTGAGTTGAAACTGTGCCTGCCTGGGCCTACAGAGAGCAGATGACAGTAGCTTTGGTTTCTTTTGCGGAGCTCACAGTACTTTTGCCTTACATAACCCCTCCCATTGTGCTTTTTCAATTATTTGGGGAGAAATCTTAAGTATGCATTTAAAAATGTAATGCTTTCATGTATTCCAAAGTAGGGGAAGAAGAGGGGGCGCATCACAGATCACGCAGAAAGGAGACGGCACTGACAAGTTTTCAGAATATCGACAATTATAATATTCTATAAGGTATATCAGCGGAGTTTAACATTGTGCGGGAGTGTTTTGGGAAAGAGAGAGGGAAGATAGGCACTCGGAGCAGATGCAAGCAGTGCAAACTCAGACATTCTTATTTCCTACCCTTCCCCCAACCCATATTCCCCCTAAGGTGCCCCTTTACTCCCCTTCTCCCCTCCTTCTGCTTCTCTGAGAGGTTAAAGCGCACCTTCCCACTAAAGGGCTCTGGGGTCATGCATCTGCATGTGAAATGTGAACCCGCTGACATTCCAGGGCAGCCCTAAGCCGTGCAGTCCTTTTGTTCACCAGGGTGCCAGTGTCAGGCCTAACAAGCTGAACGAAGGTCTATGTGAGCGCAGAAGGGAAGATGGGGAGAGAGGTCGGTGTGTTGTCGATGCACTCTCCAACTGTGCCAAAAACAACAGGAAAGTTATGGTTGTTGAAATTCTTTAATACCAGGCAACCTCCTAAAACACTGTTACCACGAGCTGGAAGTAACTGCAGAGGATATTTCTTTGGCTATGTTAAAATTGTGTTTCCTTGAAACTGACACTGGTTTAAGACAAGTGTTGGTATCAGAATTGATTGTATTCAGATAAGGTATTCAACAAGTGTAGTAAACTTAGAATCTGGAACACTGAACCTGGTATGTTTAACCTAACAGAAGGCTTTCAGGCAGACCGTGGACATGCACACTCTTTTAAATCATCCAGCACACAGAGGTGCAGGGCTGCAGTCCTTTCAGTGTCTGAATTGAGTTCTGAGGCACAAAGGGCAGCTATTCACCAGGCAGTGATGGACTTCACACTAGCCTTTATGTCCTCAGTGGCAGGCAGAGAGAGAGAGAGTGGAGGGGGGTTGGAAAGAAAAAAGTTTTGAGGAATATGTGCAATACAAAACAGAGAGATTGTTTGGAGGGCAGGAGCATGGATTGTGTAACATTTTATTAGAATATATTAATACATTTGATCAGCGTGAGCACAAGATTTCTGTGAGATATTTGTATTGTTCCCAGAAGTAGTGTCCTTTTAGATCTGTTGTAGTATTTTAGAGAAAGGCTCAGAGAACATGGTGCAGCCTCAACAGGTGTCAGCAGGTGCTAAAGCAGCATTACGGTTGTTTTTACATTAAAAGAATCTAAAAGAATTACATACAAATGCATGCACTATTTAGAAATAATATCTGTTTTGTTTCTTTGAAAAGAAAAAAATTATCTCTGAGTTTTAAGAAAATCATGCCAAACCAGAGCAAGGGTCCTGTGTAGAAATCTTATCATATGCTCTAAGTGTCTTGATATTTCTACCAGTTTAATTGGGACTGTATCTGTCAGAAAATTCGTAGTGTGTCTCATTCGATATGAAGACTGAGCACAGAGTGTGAACCTGTTGTTCCCATCGTGATTCTGATTTATTTGACCTCATGTCTAATCTGTGATGTATCCATCCATCCATTTTCTTACGCTTAACCAATTCAGGGTCACGGGGGTATAACTGGAGCTTATGCCTGCTGTCATGGGGCTAATAGCAGGACACGCCCTGGACAGGTCACCAGTCTATTGCAGGGCTAACACAGAGAGACAGACAACCATTTGTGCTCGCATTCACACTTTTTGCAGTTTAAAATTGACAGTTTTTGGACTGTTGGAGGAACCCACACATTTGTAGGATCCTTGTTCTTTGAAATCTCTGAAAGACCTATGTGCCCTGTTGTGTACGCCTAAATGTTGGTGTGTGTGTGTGTGTGTGTGTGTGTGTGTGTGTGTGTGTGTGTGTGTGTGTGTGTGTGTGTGTGTGTGTGTGTGTATATAATTTCCCACTTATACTATAAATGCTAAAAAGTTCATAAAACATATTCACAAATGATGCTGTGCAAACATGCATGTTGTTTATCATTATCATATTATTATTATTGTGATTATTATTTTTATTATTATACACTTTCACTAAGTCTAACATATTGTAATTGGCCTTACACTCCCATCCTGCATTCCTTCCCCTGGGGAACCCAGTCCAGAGTGAGTGATTCAGTTAACGTTACTACATTAGAGCTGTCCATCCATCCGGTCTGCTTTTCCAAACACATTCATCCCAGTCCTAGTTAAAACACTGGGGGATCTCCAACACTCCACCTTTATATACCCCCACCCCCAAAGTCTTTTATGATGTCCATAAAATGGAAGAGTGCAGCTTTACTTGAACTAATAATATCTGAGCTTACAGGGCTGTGATTGATGATCTTTAAAGCCAGCCCGATCGGTCTCATCTTTCTTCAGATTTTTATCACTGACTTGTTTGCAGTCATGTGCAATCACAAGCACCGGGAGAGGTAACAAGTGCTTGATGTATGATACTTGAGCCACTTTTGTCAGCTGCGCATTTCCCTTCTCTCCCTTCGTTTTTTTTTTTCTTTTATCTTTTTCTTTTCTATTTTAACCTCAGTTTTCTATATTTGTTGCCTCGCTTGAGTTGTGGACTGTTTGGTTTACTCTGTTCTCTCTTCCTCACGCTGTCTTTCTCTTTCTCACTTGTTTTTTTTTCAGATGGTGGGAATGTCTTCTCCTGGGGGATGGGGCAAGAGGTAAGCCAAACATTTTTCCACTTTTGGTCCTGTTGGGATTGGCAGACTTAGAACTGGACTCCAGGCTTTTTTGTTCATGTCATATGTTCTCTTTGTGTCATTTTAACTTTGTCCTGTTTTGAGATAATTGGAGAAAATTGTAGATTAAAACATTTTTGTCTCCAAGCGCTCCATTTGAGCACTTAATATACTTTATGGTGTGCCAAGAATGCACATCTATTTAAATTCTATAAATCACCTTTATAGGCTCTGCTGTTTGTCCATTTCGACTCCTCTGCTTCACATAGGCAGAACAGGAAATCCTTTTTATGGGACCCTCTGATGTTTATATATGAGTATGCCCCTTCAAATGTGCATAGCCAAAAGTATGTGTATGTGTGTACGTGTGTTAGCTGGCCCCATCCTACTCCTCTTTTAGATAAAAAAATCCCACCTGTCACTAAGGATTGTTCTGGCCTTTTATTTAAGATGTTCTTTAAAGAGCTGCATCATTACACAGCCCTCAGACAAAGCCCACAGAGTATAAAACCTAGGGCTACCTCAATCTCTCTCTTCCCATCTCTCACTTGTTCTTTTTCCTCTTGGCTCTGGTGTTTATCTGTGGGGATGTTTGAAACCATGGCCAAAATGCGATCGTGTTTACAATGTGACAGGATGAGGCTTTGCCAGGACAGTGAAACAAACATGTAGGTGAAGGTTAGGGAGGCGGCGCAATAAAAATGTTAGACATCAGCTTTGACGTGTGCCTGGCTTCTGCACTACATTCTTACATTGCAGGATGGCTCCTAGTCTAACTACACTCATTGGGTTTTCATAAGCATTGTAATGCCTTTATAAGTTTAAGTTAGTCTCTGCAAGGACACAATGTTTTTTCTTTCCTCCATGATGTTCTTTCTCTCGTCGAGTGTCCTCCCTCACTCATCCTCTACTGCTTCTTTCCCTTCCATTTTTCCCTACTCTTCTTCCATCTCTTCTATCTTCCTCTTCTCTCTTCTGTCTTGGAGCCATTCTGATGATTGATTGTTTCTCTGTGTAGTCTGACAGGATGTAGCACACTCTCGGCCCCTGGGGCCCCCGACAGACTGCACCACCTGATTAAGTCTCCCCCTGTAATCAGCCGCATAGTGCCACACCAAAACCACTCCCGTCAACACATTAAAAAAAATCAGAAAGGTTCCACCTTCTGAGAGATAACACTTTGTTTTTTTGCACAGGAAGAAGTGAAATGAGGGGACATCTTAAACTTTTTTTCTTTAGTAGGCTGATATCTTCTCTCTGGGGCTTAAAGGCTCTTATGTATCAGTAGAAGCAGAAAAAATGAAAAAAACAAAAGGTCTTAAACTTAATAAAGTTCTCTTGCCTTACCAAGGTAAACCCAGACAGCTATAACCCTTTTAAGGGTAGTAATAGTATTACAGATAGAAATCTCATTGTTTTCCTCCTATTGAAACTAAAAGACAGACGGCCTGCTTGGTATCACATGATTGAGGTGAGAAGGAATTTGAATGATGTCAGAGAGCAGGTGCCACAGCCAGAATCAATCTGCTAACAGAATAACGGTGGTAGCAAATAAGCGTCAAGGCAAGTAGAGAGCTAAAATTGATATATCATTCATTTTGTGAAAGAAACCATTGCTTTGACATACACCCCATTCTTTGGATTAAATAAATAACAACCGAACCCAGTGTAACTTATTTCATGACCCTAATGCAGGAAAATACAGAAAATCTACATTTTAAAGCCTTGTGCTGTTTCCTGATATCAATTGTGCAATAGCAGGGTCAACTGACTTAATTCCTTAAGTTCAACAACCTAATCAAGCCTTGTAGGAGTCTTTCTACAGCTTGATGGCTGCCGTCACCTCCAGTGTACACCATCTGGTTCAGGGGTTGCCGTCATGACGGACACCAACCATCCGGCAGCCCCCGTCTCTGTGCAGTGGAGGCGCAGAACGTGGTCCACTCTGATTCCGTGTCCCCAAGCTTTCTTGGACTGCTGTTCTGCAGGAGTGTTTAAAAGCTCCTCTGCCTGACGAGCACACCCTCATTATGCATTTTGGTAAATTAGGGTTGTCCAGCATCCTACTGGACCACCTGATCCAACCTCACCAGGTGGGGAGCAGTTAACAGCTCAGTTCCTCCCTTCGCCCAAGTGTCCAAGACACATGACTATAGTTCTGATGATACAGTTACAAAATCGATCACCTACCTCTGACCTAGGGCTTTCTTGTGCCAAGTGCATTTAGGAAAACCCTTTTGCCCTAACATGGTGTTTGTAATGGATAAACTGTGGTTAACAAGCCCAAAACAAAACGCCCCTCAGGTTTAGATTGAGCAGGCCATTCCTCCCAGTCACAGGCCCCCAGGTCACTGTTATTCCCTACATCCTCTATGGCAGTGTAGTGCTGGGCTGGGCCACCTTCCAGCATCATGCCTAGGAACTCCAAGAAGGTTGAATACTCTGAACTCTCATTCAACACATGAGCGCAAACACCCATTCCCCAACCTTAACGGTGTAGGGAAACAACCCTCTTAACGTGCAGGCACCAAACAAGAGGAGATGAGAATGAGATGAGTTGCAAATTACAGAACATTATTACCAATGATTTTAAAAACTTTAAAAATCCTTCAAAGAATTGTTTTTAATTGGGCAAAATTGAGAATTACAACAGAAAAGTAATGTATAGCTAGATCAGTGTGACTATTTAGCCTGTCTTCTGCAATCCTTTATATATTGTAATGAGGGTGACTCATCCAACATAGTAAATAATAAACAAGCCATCCTTATGGTGGTAGAAGCCCTGGGCCTTGTTCCAACACAGTTCAGGCCTCATCGAACCTTGGGCCTATTCCAAATTGATGCTAATGCAGTTTGGGATTCAGCTGTAAACTGAACCCTTTTCATTCTATAGATCTGCAGGTCCTTCCCTGCACGGAAGTGTGTGAAAGTGGAGGAGTTTGTTTGTGCATTAGTGTGTGTTCATGCATGCTTGTGTAGTATGCGTTTATGTATTCTCATTCCCTCAAATGTATGTGTACATAGTGTAAGCATCTTTGCCTGTGGGTGTGTTTGGTATTTTCACCATGCTCACATTTATATCTGTCTATGTTTTTCTTTTCCCTTCCTGCTAATGCCATCAGTACACACATTGTGACTGATGATAGTCGTTGCCACACTCTGATGCTCTACTGCTTAATGTCCTTTTTGTTTATTAATTAACTGCAGGACATACAGGCTGAGAGACACCTATTGATTCTACTGCTGCATTAATTGATTTTGTGCTTCACTAGTCATATTGTTGCTGCAAGATCATTACGAGGCCTCTGTGTTGTCTTTGTGGTGGCGCATTATGTGTTGACATACTGTGTTGTTTTTAGTTTTGTGGGTAAAGTGTTGACTGTGGTTGTCATTTTGAATGGATATGTCTTTATTTTTCTTGTATGATAGAGAATTCAGAACAAGTGGGTGCTGCAATACCCTGACAACCAAAGCCCAAGAATGCACAAATGTCACAAAAATAGTTGTACATTTTATGCATTTTTGCAGTCACAATTAAAAACGTCTTTTGATTGCTTTTGCCATTAGCAAATTACCTGTGTTTTGCATGAAGACAATGACAAGTCTACAAACACTCATCAAATGCTCACTAAGTGGTTGTGAAACCGTGTGAGTCCCATGCAAACCATTAATGGAGACAGTTGGTTATCTAAAACTAAATTCAAAGTTGCACCATTGAAACATGTTGGTTTCAGCAGGAAATGCTTTTACTGTGTAACTTTTTTGAGTTACACTTTCACTTAGAGGTTAATTAATGAGTGTTTGCAGATGAGACGGCATCTTCCATGCAAACTGTGGGTAACTAAAGCAATTTGCTAGTGATCAAAGCAATCACAAGGTTTTCTTTTTTTTTTTTAGTGCATCATTCCTCTTGCAGAAGACACATTTTTGCCATAGGTAGCAGAGGTTGCCAGAGGGTCACCAACTGGTCTATAGGCCAGTGTGGCTAACTTCTTTTCTTTCATGCCATATGTCCTGTACCTAATTTGTTCTACAATGTCTCTGTACTTATTAAGTGAAAAACACAGGGAAACAAGTCCTGCAGCATGTTCTACAGTTGTAGCTACATAAATTCTAAAGCAGCAATCTGAGCTGAATTCTCTGATAAACATAAGAAACACAATAGCATGTGCTCTAATTACTGTGAAAGAAATTGAATTTGTTCATTAAACCGATAACTCAAATGAAGTATAAATTAAATCTTGTGATTTTGTCAGCTTCATATACATGCATGTTTGCAATAAACACAATAAACCTGGATTGTACTGTAGAAAGTTGGCTGACATCTAAAATGAGGTGAGAGTGTTCTCCGATATAGAGCAGTGTTATTCTATTATTGAAACAAACACATTGTAGTGTTTGTGTGTATCTGACTGCCAAAGGTTCCCTAGTGAGTCTGACCGGGGGGTTACAGTGTAACCAAAGCATCTGTCTCCTGCTCACCATCCAGATCAGCCAGTTCAGCTTGACTGGGCCCAGTTGTCTTGGTTTCATACTGACGACTGTCTGGGAAAGGTCTGTCTGGGGTTCAAGTACATTAAAGTCATCCGTTCCCCTCCCACTGCGCCCCAACACAGATGGCTCCAGATGCAGCTGGCACAGCATGGAGCAGCACCTGACAGTGCTCATTCACTCAGACACACAAAAATACACTTAAACAAGTACAAACACATGCAGACGCACAAACAGGTACGGACACATGTGTTCACTTAGTGCACCTAAATGCAAGTAAGCTTTCACAGGCACACTCTGATGGAAGCACAATGACATTCACACCTTAAATACTTAGATGCACACACTCACAGCAGGAACATATGCTGCCACGCATCTACAAATCCTCACAGTAGCGCGCATATGAATAACCAATTAAAGACTCCGATTACTGCATGGCGCACACATAGACTCAAAAGTAACCCATACATATTGTGCTCACTTTCAGACATATGCCAGGGCATGCCGATGTGCACAGTGCAGAAAGCCTTTATCTCTGCAGGAGCGGAGAGGAGCAGGGCAACTGACAGGAGTCAAACTGAACACCCTCACAATGTGTAACAAACAGAAAGATGTAAATTAGGAACAAAGCCTTCTTTTGTACTGTGGGAGATGCTATGGCTATTAAGGCTCTGTGCTGGATAGGGGTGGTAAATGAAACATAAAAAGAAGTAGACTTACGAATGATGAAAAAAATGCTGTGTTCTTTTTTTTAAATAGTGCTTCCTCCTTAGAGACAGCGATTTGAACCAAGATGAATTGCCTGTTGCCCATCTCATTTATGCAGTACACAGCAGATATTATAACAGTGCTTTACAGGAATGCGCTCATGACACTCAGCAGGTGATCTACAAGTCCTCTTTGACAAATATAACAACCATCTTTTCATTTTTGCAATGGCAGGGCAGCATGATTTAACAGATGAAAGATAGACTTACTGCTGCCTGCAAAATGGTAAAATTATAGGAATAGTTAAATAGTGACACATCCTATCTGTAAGCAGTGAAATGGCTTTTGTTTTAATGTTTATTCTACTTCTGTAACTGTATCGCTATTTTACCTGCAGGGACAGCTTGGACTCGGAGAGGACAGACTGCACGTATCGACTCCTAGCCTTCTCAACTCTTCACAGCTTTCTGAGGTCTCGCAGATACGAGCTGGGGACAGCTACAGTGCAGCTGTCACAGGTGAGCCAGACATCCAAAATGCAATAGAAGACCACTATTTGATCCTATCTTTCCTGCAGCTGTATTATTTTGGCCTGAAAGCATTAAGTCCAATTAAATAACATTACTTAACTAAAACCCTCAATGTCTAATTGTCACTGCAAATATTTCTCATTGTGATTAAAAAGTCCTAAAAGTTGTATTCACTCTATGTAATATATAAAAACCACTTATTAACTTGAAACCCTTATTTTCCCAGTAGTACCCCTCACTGTGGCTTTGAGCCATGCAAATTTTTCATCTACATTATTTCGTTGAGTTTTAATTAACACAACAAGGATTCAGTGTCCTCAAATGACATCACTCGGAGCACAAATTCAACCTCATTAGCTCTCAATATCTCTTAAGCCAAATGAAACTGCACAGCACTGCACCCAGTTTCAGCTTCTTCCGTTAGGTGATATACAAAATGAATTGATTTGTTATTCAAGTAGTTATCCCTAAACTACCCCACTCAGATCTCAGACTGCCGCCATAGCAACTGAGAGATAAGGAGGCACACCAAGCAAATGTCATCTTTCCCTCTGGCCTGGTCGTCTTTACTGTAATTCCTGAAAAGCTGAAACTCTTTGCAAAGTTTGAAAACAGGTAGCGCTAGATCATTTCTTAACTCATCTCTTATTCATTATTTTCTCACGTGCCGCTGCTGGGAACCATGTGCTCGCTTTTACATTTACACCACTGCAAAGTGTCAGGCAACTGCTTCTTCTTCAGCAGGAATTAAAGCGGTTACATGGCCAACGTAACATCTTCTGCATAAAGAGAAAAGGCAGTGTAATTGTTTCAAGTGAAAGGCACATTTACATGCTACTGCTATGCTGCAACATTCAGAGAAAAGAATTGCCTATTGTTGAACGGAGACGTTTGCTGGCACTGCGTGCACAGTTTCACTAGAAATGCCACCAGATCATTAAATGAGCTGCACTCGCCATATATTAAGTTTGTTCCATTTGAATTCTTGGCTCTCTGAAGACCATTTGGCACATGAGGCCATACCTGCCTGTGGTACAGTTATGTCTTTAAGTGATCTATAAAATGTTATTATTTAAAACAAGTGCTTTATGGATTGCTTACGAGACATGCTTAGCACATGATTGATCTGACCTTTCACAGACTGTCGTTCGTACGGAAAACATCAGCCTTAACCTTTTTTAGCCGGATTACTCTGCCAGAGTCTCGGTAAACGTGTCTGCGTGTTTGTATTTTGTGTGTATGTACATGTATGTGTTAGTGCTGCATCTGTTGTAAAATGCCATCCAGAAATGCCTGTCTCATATGCTTTTATAAGGTTTGCTTCACTGAGATGAAAATAATACATTACTGATTGATTGATTGATTGATCAATCATGTCTGAAAGGGTGTCTGCGTCTGCATGTGTGTGCGTGCGAGCGTGTGTGTGCGTGCGTGCATGCCTGTGTGCGTGTGTGCCAAGGCTATGTACAGCTTGATGCAGAATAGAGATTGATGGAGGCTTGCCGTGAGGAGGATACTCAGTTATCTCCTTGTAATTAAAATCCACCTCATAAAGATTATTGACTCCCCCACCACACAAACCAGCAGGCTCCCTCGCTTGGCAGGGTTTGCAAAGCGCTTCTTAAAAAATGAAAAATAGCATATTAAGCAGCACATATTTCCCATTTATGCGGAACATTTAGATGTGGTTAAGTTATCGTAATGTGCAATAAAACCTGGATGTGAAATTTGTAATCCACTTTGGAAAATTGCTTACTATATTGCTTTAACATCCCCTGAAAGAGCTTTTGAGATGTGTGTGCCAGGTTTATTGTACGCCATAATTTAAAAGTCCTCAATGCAGGCAGTAAATATAAATTTATTAGTGGTGGGTTTAAAAAGCCAGACTGAGTTAGTATGAGTGGATGCTGGAGTGTTTGTAGTAGGTGAGCGCATATTATGTATATGTTTTTTTTTCAATAGGTGCCAACTGAGAATGTGTTCTCTCCATTCAGTGGTGAGGGAAGAAAGTTGAGCTCATGTGCACGTGTGCGTGTGGTAAAAATGTGATCAGGGACTGATGTTTAGGAGCTGCTAATACGCTAGTTAGAATGAGAAACAAAAAGTCTGTAAGGTCATTTCATTTTTCATATTTTATTTCCCTTGTGGCACCGTGAAATTGCATGTGTTCTGGTCTATTTTCAGAACTTTTGCCTCTTTTTTGCTATCTTTAGCAGGTGGAGATCTGCTTCTCTGGGGTCAGATCCCCTGTGTTTCCCGGGTCACATATCATGCAGGCCCCAAAGGGCTCTGGACCCCCCAGCCTTTTCCACTAGCTGGCCGAAAGGTGCGTTTGTGCCTCAAGGATTTCAGAGAAATGATTTTTATCTGGATATTTGTAAGTTCTTAAAAGGTAAGTCCACACTGCATTGCTTTCCATTGATTTAGAAGTTACACTTCCTGCAGTCTTACATTATGACCTCATCTTGCACAAAGAGCTGTAGATCAATGCTATATTAAGTATGAAAATATGTAGCAAAGGTCTTAGGCATCTTTGTGAGTCTCATTTCTCACTGTCTTATCCTTTTATACAAATTTACAACATCAGGTAATTTTGGGGGGAAAACGTCAAAGCTATGTCTTTGGAATTTTCGCACTACTTTAAAATTTAAAAACATTTGATTTTTTTTCGCAGATGATCAGTGTTGCCTGTGGTGCATGGCACATCATGGCTCTCACCACAAGTGAGTAACCCGTCATCATTCCCAAAGATTCATGTCTCTCCGTTTAATTGATCTTGGGGCAGTTAGACTGCGTCACTAAAGATAAACCAGTCAACCTCAGGTATTTCCTCTCCACACTGGTTTCCTCATCCTTTTCTCCAAATGATGTCTTGTTCCTCCTCAAAGCCCCTCCTCACTCACTTTCTCACTCATCGAACCATAATTCACTTCAGAGGGAAGCATCATTAATGCACAGTAGGACCCAGCAGCTTGATGTGTGCTAATTATATTGTGTGTTTTACACGCTGAATGACTTTTGCTTAGTCAGTGATGAGCTCAGTCTCTGGTAATTGTTTTTTGGATTTGATGAGTTTATAAAAGCCTGTCTGTGAGTGCGTATCTGGGCATGTTGCTCGTGTGCTTGTCCGTTCATGTATGTGTTAGTAAACATGTGGATGGCGAGACTTTACTCATAGAAATCCACATTTATGTGTGCCTGTGCTTGAGCAGTCTTGTATTAAGGCCATGTGCCTAGATGCACAGCCTACTCTGTTTTTTACACATAGCCAGAAAGCCAAGATTATTATTCAGCTCTGCACATTATACGCTTCTGTGAACTTAATAATGATTAGCAAACAGTCAAAACCTCGAGATCGTTCTGACACATTAAAACTACATGCAGTTTTAAACTCTGCCATTCCAGCCTAACACTTTGACATGCGCATTCAACCATGACACTACACTCCATTACTTGCTTGCATTCTTCACAACCAATGTGATCCTTTTTAGTACTGTACATCAGTCGGTGCTATAGCAGCCTTTGGCTAATCACACTGATTGGAGGTGTCCTTTGGCTCACCTGGGGGCTTCCAATCCTATTAGGCCAACAGTCCTGAGCCTAGCGTACCCAGCAGCCGCTCGTGTTTGATCACTGGTGCTTAGAGCCCACACTTGTCCTCTTATGTTGGTGTTAAGGCATGGAGGAGAGGAGCAGCAGGGTGGGGTTTGGAGGGGGTTAAAATGTGATCTCCTTAACTCTCTAGGGGGGCAGAGGGGAGCTCAGTGCCCCACCTCCCTCACTGACACTCCTCTGCGCCTCCAGCTGGAGCTGGTCTTTAAACTTCTGATGTCATATGAAAAGCGGAACACTGCAAAGTTTTTTTTCAGGCAAAAGAGAAAGAGATGGAGGGACCGAAAGAGTGAAAGATTGAAAGAAGCACACTGTGAAGAGACGGTTGACTGTATGTGTCTATCTTTTTGAGAGTGTAAGACGTTTAGAGGTTCACTCAAATTTCTCACATCACTCCCCTCCTCCCCTCTCCTTTCTTAATCTTTCTTTTTCTCCCTCTGCACACCTGAGCTGATTCCACCAGGCCTGTCACCTCTGTCTACCTTCTTCCTAGCTGTACCACATACATTACCTCCCCTCCATCACTTCTTCTCTCTGCCTTCTTTCTGACTGCTATTTTCCTTCACTACATGCCCATCACTGTGTCTCTCTTGTGGCTCTCCCTCTTCTCTCCCCCTGCTGCCCCCCACCGCGACTCTCTTCTTCCCTGGGCCAAGAGCGCCCAAGAAGAGCCATGTGTTTCCAAAGTGGACTGGATGGGAAATCGAAGCAGGGCTTCTGTGTTTATCAAGCCACAGCTCCGTCACCTTGCTCCTACTCCCGTCTGGAGGCCCCGGCAAATTGGTGACAGCAACAACAACAACCCTGCAGCACACATGCCCCCTTTTCCCATGTGCACATCCATACACGCAGTTACACACTAGCACACACACGCACGCACACATGCACACAGCATAGCACCTTGGCCTGTTTAGTTTTATTGCTGGTGTCAGGTGAGGAGGTGGAGGTAGGAGTGCTGTCTAATGTTCAGCTCACACACACACACAGATACACTCACACACAGCTATTTCCACCCCTGCCGACACCTTGGCTAACAAGACCTGTGAACTGCAGTGACAGAACTCCAAGACTTGTCAGAGTCCCACTCATTTAATGCCAAGACCCGGCCCCAGCTCTAACCCATCACAGTTTCTGTATGCACACCAAGCCACATTAGGCTGCACAATGATATACAGGGTGTGAGTCTGTACTACTACTACTACTGCTACTTCAGGTTAATATTGTTTAAGTAATACCTTTACTAGTGATATGTATGGTAATTCTCTTTTATTATTATTAAATCAACGGTGTAGTATAATATCAGTGTCGAGGTGAAATGTGTCATTGTTTCGTTTAACTTTACCTTCAGCCTGCACCTCATTACAATGATGTGCATCATGATTTCTTTCATCTATAAATGTTTAAATGTTTGCTATTACTCTTGCCTGTCTAGTTGCATGTGTGACAGTACAGTAATGTGTCTGTAAACCTGCTGTACCCACAGGCATCTTTATCTGGAGCATCTAATAGTCTTGGGTCATTACAAGTAGTTTTGCATGGAACACTGCCCCTTTTGTTGCATGTGTACAGGATGCTTTCTGCTCAATATCTTTTTCAGTGCCCCCTTTCTTTGCTTTGACGTTATCGTGTAAGTGGAGAATAAAAGAGAGTTGACTTTGGTTAGAGCCCTGCACGGCCTTGCTACCTTGGAAATTAACTACACAAACAATGCCTTGCCATTGTGCCTAAGCACTTACAACGATGCCATTTAAGAGAGTATTGATCTACCCAATGCAGGGTCAATCATTGGATCAATGGTGTGTGGGTTGGTTGGCTCGAAGGCTGTTTGACTGCATGAATGAATGGATGGTTGGATAAAGAATGAATAGGCGGTTGCATAATGAATGGATGGATGGATGAATATATGGATTGATTCATGGGTAGACTTAAAGATGGATGCATGGAGGGCACCGGTGTCGGGTCTGCACAGAGATGAACTTGTATAGTTCTGAAGATGTTACTTGCTTGCTGTATTTTGTGTAAGACTCACTTCTGTCCTGTACACCTGCCACCATTAAACACAGCCTGACATTTACTGCAGGTTGAAGTTGATTTGTTGTGAATCCTCCGCAAAGAAGCATTTCTTAACATGAAGTGATTGTTTTTTTTAGTTATTGCTGATTGGGGCAATTTTATATTTAAGCCCAGTAGGTATAGTAGATAACTACCTCCTATTTACCAAAATTTTTGCTTACCTGGATGCAATATTAAGCTGAAATCCGTCAAGTAGTATTACTGAAACTGAAGAGTGAGAGACTGAGAGATATAAATTAAAAAGCAGTCATTGTCATTAGCATGTTCTTGGTGGATTGTTGTGATGTGTTTACACCAGGGTTGATTGACCTAGTTACCCAGCCCCTGGCAGCATACGATGGAGAAATGAAGATAATGCAACACAAGGGAGAGAGTTATGTTGCTTTATTATTCTTATATGTGAGGCACTTGTGAGTCTGTGCACCCACATGCACAAACTCACACACACATGCACGCACGCACACTGAAGTGATGATCAGGCGCTAAGGGGTCGCGCCTTGTGACGAAGTAAAAAAAAAAGAAGAGCTTATTTAAAATTCTGTAAGAGATGTCAATTGTGCCCTCTGCATATTTCTATGGAAAATTTGTAAATAGATCCTTTGTAAATAGCTTCTCCTTTGCCAATCACCCTGTCTGCTCTGTGCACAGCAGCATTAAAAATTGATCCTTAGCAGCACCAGGGTGAAATGCTAACATTGCTGCCAAATGACTGATTAAAAAGAAAAACCTTTAATCTTTGCTTAAAAGTGTCTACTGCCTTGGCATGCCTTTCCCTGTGCTCCTCTATCTTCCAACGCCGTGAAGGGAAGGAGGGGGTCGCCGTGGGGGAAACGGGGTCACGCTTCATGTAGAGTCAGCGCTGTACAGTGATATAGCTCTAGAGGTGAGGGATTTCACTAAGAGGAGATCCAGGAATCAACATGCATTGCTGTCTTCTGAATTTAACCTTAAGCCAAAGGTTAAAAACACATTTGAGCTTTCCACAACAGGAGCTGAGTGTGCTGTGGCACTCCTGCTAATGGCATGTAGAAAAAAGAATTGTTTCTTCCAACTTAACTATTCAGGTTAACAAAAAAAAATCACTGGGGCTCTAAAGTTTGACACCTCATTTAGCAGCACAGAATTAGAAACTGACGCCCAGCTTCTGTATATGATGACTACAGAACATACACATGCAGTTTTGGAACATAAAAAGGTATTATAATGTATATTGAAATTGCTGAGAGGTGTTTGTGCTTCAGAGAGCAGAAAGAAGAACAGACAGTGTGCTCACCCAGAAACTCAAACTCACTTCAGAGACCTTCCTCACTTCAGAGACCTTGTCAGAAAACCCTCACCAATAGAGCACACAGAGAAAGAAAACACGGCACAGGTAAGATAAACATATCTCTTCTTTCTTGCACTACAGCCTTTTTATTGACTTACATACTGTAAAGCTAAATCTAACTGACTCGCTAACCCAACAGCTCCCTATCTCTTGCCGTGGATTTTTCCTGAGTGATATCTTTCTCTTCCACACTCCCTGCCTGCCTTGTTGACATCCTCATCGTCC